AAAATGTCCATACCCGCCGGTGGTCTGACTATTGGTAACGTCAAAGTATTAATAAATAAAATGTTCTTTGTCGCCATGGAATTCACGTCGTACAAAGATGAACTTCTTATGGTTACTCTATCAGAATTCATTATGACAAGTACAACCAACACCAAAGATACTAAAGAAATTTTGGCAAGTGTGAAGGAAAAGGCCAACGAGATTTTAAACGTTTTAAACGGTACCAGCCCAAGCAGAACCGACCGGTTCAGTATCAACGTTAACGAACGCCAACTGTCTACAGGCACCGACTGTGACCAATTGATATCAGGAACCATTACGGAATTCGAAGACTATGTAAAAAACTTTAAAACCGTCTTGGCCTATAGAGTGTTTTTGCATTTTATGGATGCAGTTAAAATGTCCGCTGCTCAATTTGTTTAAATTTTAAATTGATAACACAATTTTCATACCAAATTCAAGTTATAATAACAGAAATGTTTTTAAAAAGAAAATTAATATTTAGTGACAGGTGTTGTCAAAAGAATTGGGAGTATTAAAACTATTTGCTTATACTGTTTAAACTATTGAACATGGGCTACCATAACATGTTATCAAAAACATAATAGGTTTGTGTTAATAAAACCAAACATGAAATACTTATTTTATTATAGTTATAGTATATTATTTAAACTAATAAAAACATATTATTAACACAATATTCATACATCAGTTATTTTTTAAAACTATTGCGTTCACAGCTTCGCATCAAAGTTGATAGTTTTGTATGGTTTAATACATTTGTTCGTTTTTGCATTTGCGCATTGATTCTTTTTTAAAAAATTATTGTGTTCTTTAATGTACATTTATTGATCAATTCAAATAGTATAATATAGATAAATGCGTTTAATTATGATTTATCAATTTATATGAAATACATTTGCATTCGCCTGATTTGATTACTGTTACAGGTTACTCCAAAAATCCTAACACTAATGCTGTTTCAATGTATTTATTAAGCACCTTATAAATTATGTGTTAAATCTAATGATTAAAAATACAAAATAGAATGTCAGAAATAAGGATGGTATAATTATTTTAAATAGACATTGTCGGGAAGAGAAGTACACAAGTAGAAAAATACTATACAAGTGTTTTGTTTTAATATTAAAAAAAAGTATCATACAAGTTTTAATACACAAGCAGAAAAATATTTTACCCGTGTATTGTTCAAATGATAACATGTTTTGGTATTAAACTAAAAACAATGTGAAGGTTACCTTGTACGAATTTAACGGTTTGAAAAAAATCAAGTTGTTAATTATAATATATAAAATTAATATAATATATAGTATATTAAATGATTCTGATTTAATATACTATATAAATGCTTCTTTCTAAAATACAAATAAACGGTTTGAAAAAAACAAAAAATAACAGATATTATGCTACCAGTACACATTTTATGAAAACCATACCAAAATTATCCGATTTAATATACTATACAAACGTGTATCTATATTTTTAAGAGTACATAAGTGAACTTTTTCAAATATTACACCCCCTCCCTCCAAACTGCTTAAATATGAAAAAGCTTCCAATCATTTGAATATAACATATTGACTGGAATGTTGCCTCCTGAACAATTTTGAAATTGTCAGTTAACACCTTTATCCACTCACCCCTTTAGTTTTATCATCTTAAACCACAACATTATCTCTGTTGTTTTATTTTTGCTAAATTGTAACAAGTTTTGTTAAAAAAAAACTATTAGGTATAACAAAATTTAGTATATGTCCTAATTCTAGAGTTTTGTAGTGATAACGTAAAAAATCTGTTATCACTAGTTTCAGTCTACAGGCAGCAGCGGAACGATCATCATTGAACTTGGCACAACAACACAGTGCTGAAGATGGAAAATGTAAGGTTTCTGAAACGTTAAGCAAAGCCAATAGGTATGGAAACATATACCGAACGTTTTGTAAATAATACAAACTTAACAAATTTATAATTAATTGAAAAAATTATGATAAACGTCCAACGAGCTCATTAACAGTCTTGTGTCATTCCTAACTTGACCATCAAGTTTCTCATGTCAAATTTGTTGTTGTTGTCACATTGTTTATAAACAAACATTTCCTTGAAAATCTCGCACTGTCTTTAGGCTATTAGTTTAGTTTTAAATTCTGTTTCATTTAGTTATTTATAATATTTTAATGAGGTATTTTTTTGTGAATGGTGGGTCAACCATGGAAAATCCACAAGACTCTCTTTAACAAAAATAAGACAAATCACCCTACCCCTGTCGTCCTTCAAATGACTCCACTGACGGTCTCAATTGTTTTTCAAGTATTAAATAATTATATTTAAACGTTAACGTCGCGTCGGTGTAAGAACATTTCAAAACGTAAAACAATTCAATTAAAACGCTGATAAACAAAGTAAATTAATTTTAATTGTGCAGTTGTTTGTAAATAATTATATAATAATATATAACAAAGACACAATACATTTTTGTTTTAAATTTCTTATCTTGTTATTATCAATTTACTAAGTCAATTATGATTATTTTTTATAATCCCATTGCTTTGTGTGCTTATGCATTTTGTCTTGTGGCACTTAAAACACTTTTTTTTATTTCGAGTGAAGTACAATTTCTAGTAAATTTGGAAAGAACACATATTATGCTTTTGGGAAATACTGTACATTATGGTTTTTTTTTCATAGACAAAGAGAGAGAGAGAGAGAACTGAGTAGAATTTATTCTAATTAAATTTGATATCGTGTACCTCATGTTTCTAGTAAAAGCCCGCAGGTGTCGTTTATATTAGCAAGACCTTTTCACTGGCTATTATCTAATTAATTATACTATTCGCTACGCAGTATATTAAAACAGTTTTTTATTTTGTTTTTGTACAGACAGTTGTATTATTTTTAATTAAACGGATGCGATAATGAAATTTGAAATATTTTAACGTGTACCTATTATTTATCGCCAACAGTATATTCTCCACTGATTTTTAGTAATTTCACACTTAATTGTAGAACACTATTGTTGATAGCCGGTTATTATGGGCTAGTTTTAGTTAGATTAGTTCCAAATTTGTAATTTTAATTATTTAGATAAAAAACTATTATCTATAAAATGCCCAACTCTACCCCTGAAAGTTAGACCTAAGGTAGTAGATCTAGAATGAAGCTATAACAGAAATAGAATTTTCTCAAAATTTGGAAAAACAAAAAAAAAAAATTGGCCCTCTTGTCGAGAATCATTTTTTAAAGTACTTAAGTACTTATTGTCGAATGTAAATTTTACTTTCAAACTGTTAATGCGGTATTTCAACGGTTATGTATTTATAACATTTTTTTATTATTTCTGAATGAATATATCAATTTAGCCCTCAGAGTGAGGGGTGGGAGGCATTGGAAAATAGAAATGTTAAAAGTTATTTGTCAGAACCGATTGGAATAATTTTAACGAAATGTATATTAATCATGATCGATAAAACTATAAAAACGCTAATCGTCTAAATGGTAATTAAAATTATTGTAATTAGCATATATTTTTTTTTTGAGGTCTTATTGAAATTTCTCTCCGGCCCGAACGGATATTTTTTTTAACATTTCATTTCATCTTTTTTTTTTTTTGTAGTTTTTGCCCGACGGTAGTCATGGAAGCGGTGGTTTTCTGTAGGTAGTTGTGTATACAGGGTGATCCAACTAACGTAAGACTCTCATATTCTCTGAATATATGAATATTTATAAAAAAAATTGTCCTTAACTTTTAGGTACATATTTTTACTACATTTTTCAATATTATGAAAATTGTTATCACTAATATAATCTGTAGATAAGAACCGTTTGTCTCGAATTATTTTAAAATAATTTATAGTGACTTCAAATCCAAGGTACACAAAATATAATTTAAAATAATTTATTTTAAATAATAATCGTATATTTAAGTCTACTTATCTGTTAAGTAATTAAATTTAATAACATTTTATACATATTTTTCATGTAAATTTAGTATAAGTCACCTTTACAAACCTCATTATAAATTAATTTTGCTGACCTTATACAAAAAATAATTTCCTCTTTTTTTTTGGTTTTAATTTGTGTTTATTTTATTTGTATATATATATATATATATATTTATCAGGTTTATCATGAATGTATTGAGTTGCCTTTCTCACTCAAGAAACTACAAACCACCTTGAAAGTACTAAGAAAAATGTTAAGTTGACTTGAGACTTGTGGTTTATAAAAACTTAAATGTTATACTTTTGAAAATTCGCCGTTGTAGGCCTTCTTTTATGTTCAATAATAACAATGACCCAACCATGAAGGGTAAAGTACCTGTGTTCAACAATTACCCTACATGTATTATCGCCAATTGGACAATGCCAACATAAATATGAATTTTATGTGCTACCGGTTTTGGAAAACTGGAGAAATATGATAACTGTTAAAAGAGGAAATCTTTAGTATCTTTACAAAGTCATAGCTAACGAACAGATAAAAGAAAATAAAAAAATCAAACGCTAACATAGTTAGTATAATTTTTTGTCTACACATATTTTATTTAATTAAAAACGTACGTTGCCGTTTAAAAAAAAATACCAAAAATCCCCTTTGGAGAAAACGAGTGCCTTGGCGTTAGTTTGATCACCCTGTATATTCCGAAAGGGTGCGGCGAGCTGTAGGTAGGCGCGCGGGATCAACTCGGTGTGTGTAGGTAGGAGGTACGCCGGGGAGCTTTCGCTTTGACGATGCCCCGACGGGGGGGTGGTGGCGGCGTGTGTGAGGGTGCCAGGGGGAGGTGCCGGGGAGTTATTTCTTTTTTTTTTTTGTCGCCGCCGCTTTTTTTACACCGTTTCCGCCGCGCTGTTTCGCCGACCATTTGGCCGCACTGCACGCACGCCGCCGCCGCCGCCGCGCCGCGTGCCCACCAGTCACGCCCCGGTCTCCGCGCCGCTGACCCTTGGCACCGAGGCGCGTGTCCCCCGTGCCAGTGCCATTATCCGTTCGGGAGCCGTCCGTCGTCCGGCGTCCGCGCGTTTGCCTCTCGTCCGCGTTCGTATCTCTCTGTGTGTGCGTTTACTCGATAATAATAATAATAATAATAACATTTTGTTCGGGTTTTCGTAGATATAATACAATAAATATAAAATACCCATTACCTACGCGAAATTTACCAATCGACTGTACATATTTTTTTTGAATACTGAATAGTTTTGTTTGTTTGTTTGTTGCCCGCCGGCGATGCGCCGCGTGACATGTTGACGGTACGGCCGCCGTCGCACTCCTCATGTTGCTGCAGCAGGGACAAAGCACCACCACCGGCCAAACGCACGGTGCCGGCAGCGGCGCCGGCCAACACAAGAACCCGTCGCATCTCCTGCAGTCCATACAGAACAGGCTGATCCCGGGATGGAGCGTACACCTGGCCAACGACAATAGGCTGTACTATTGCAAGTAAGTGCCACATTCTTGGGTCAAAAGAAAAAAGCACCTCCCCCCCTCGAAGGGGGCCTCGTGGAAATGTCATTCGGGACCCCTTTGTCTTGTCATCCGGTAGGGCCAAGGCGGTCCCCTTGTCTAAAGTCACCATAGTCATGTCCGAAGGGATTCAGTGGCGAATCCAGGGGTTGTCCAAAGGGGGGGGGGGTGGCGAATTTTCGTTTTTTGTAGATATAATAGAATTACCTTTTTTGTTTTTATTAATTGTCTACAAAATATGTTGCAATGTATTAATTATTTTGATTAGTTTTTTTTAATTAATTATTATTAATTCAGTTTAATTTTGACCCAATAAACTTTCATAGAAAATAGCTACAGCAAGTTTGTTTAAATTCAAATACATACTTATAATTAAGTAAAGTACAATACTCAGATATTTTTGATATAAAATCAATGCATATTTTTTTTCTTTAACAAATCTTTCAATAATATCATTTACATTTAAGGGGATTCGATACCGGCCGTTTTTTTCAGTCAAAAAATATCATTTTTTATCCATCGCACAGGCCGATCCAGTAATCCGATAAGTAATTTGAAAACAGATTTGAATTCGCCATGAAGTTTACTTAGGATCGGTCGGGGTACTTTTTTCAATTTTTAATTTTATCCCTTTCCAAATTTGATTTAAAAATTTTAAATATTAAAATTCTAAAAAAAGTACGCAGGCCGATCTCAAGGAAACATCATGACAAATTCAAATCTGTTTTCAGCGACGGAACAAAAAATGTGCTATTAAATAAACTAAAATGGCTTTTACTCATAGACAAAATTATTTAAACTAAAAAATAATAATACCATGAAGTTTTTACAAATTAACAGGTAAATTAATTGCCATGGTCGAAATTTATTACAACCACTTTTTTCTTGGGCCAAAACTCGGGTCAAGGGGAAAGGGGGGCGATCACTCAATCGCCCCCCCCCCAAATCCGCCACTGAAGGGATTCGTTCTAACCTAACCTTCCTGGGCAATACCTTCTATTACTGTGGCTGTCCAACGACTATTTACCTTATTAATTGCTAAATCCCTCATCGTTCCTTACATGTTTTGTTCATGTTCTTCTCCAAAACCGCACTTCCAAGGTTTCTATTTTGGCTTTCCCTGCCTCCAGTATAGTCCACGTCTCTGCAAGTGCTTTCTTAGTGTCCAGACTTATTGCGTTTGTGGTAATAGAATTCCTTATTTTACAAAAAGCTCGTTTACTTTCCAGGTGGGTGACGTGTGGCACTGTCTCCAACATTATACCATCTAAGACTATTTTTGCAACATATCACTACCTTTAGTGTGTCGTTCATTTTCTTCAGCATATTAGTTAAGTCTTCTTCGTTTTCTGCAATTACTGCAATGTCAAAACGTAGAATGTACAAACATTCCGCCTATATTTATTCTTTTTCCTAATTTCTTTCAACGGTTCTTCTATGCATAAATTAAATGTCCGAATCAGATGTTTACCTATTCAATCTGGATCCGGCTTGCCTTATCTGATTCTTGGTTAATTCTGACTGAAATTTCCACACGGTCAGTCTCGAGTTTAGCGACTTATGTGCAAATGTATAACCGGTAATTGCAAACTCCACTCAAATGAACCCAATGTAAAACGTGGTCGTGAAAGGGTTGTCAATCGACATGCCGGCATCCTTTTGTTTTGGTCAATGCGTTGGGGGTTTGTGTACAGGAACCGCATTTAATTGGTAAAATATGCACGGATTCCTCTAATGGGGTTGTTTAAGTTGAAGGGTCTGAAGTTGTTGACCAAGTCATCAAAGTGATGACTTGTTAGATTATGAGCTCGACTCGGCTGACGATAGTGGCCAACGTTGAAATGAATCTCTAAGATCTATACTTGGATTTTCTTGTAACATTTTAAGAGACTGACGCCAGCCTTAATGTTGATGCATTCCTTTGACGTTCTAAACCGTTATCTATGTTAATTATTAGGTCCAGCCTAATGCCAATTGTGTACAGTAATGCGTCAAAAGCGCCTGTACTTCTTTATTCAGTGTAGATTTTAGACATTTTTAAAGTGGTCATCCTAACTTTAGACTCGTGTGGACGACTTTAATCTAGGATTTTTTTTAAAATAGATTTATTTCCTAATGGAATGTGGAATTTCATAGTGGAAATCGTTTTTTTAATACTAGACCCGGGGATTAATCGGTTAGAATCATTTAACTGGCATACTATCACGTCTCTGAATCAAATTATACTTCTTAGGTTAATTGCATTATAACTATTGTGGGTTTAACATAATGTATTATTTTGCTTGTATGACCCATTATTGCTGTATTGTATGGGGCTATATTTCATTTAACTTTTTTAGTGTTTGTTTTTTGCGGTAAAACTTTTCCTTGTAAAATATTACACATCGGGTTAGAGTTTTTATACATAAAAAAAAAAATTGGACGTTCACGCTGATCGATAATCCTAAATGATTCCGTTGCCGACTAAAAAAAAAATATACAAGATAAAATTTTCCCAAGCCATTCCCAAGGGCAAAATGTATCAATCTTGACGACGGTTGTTAAAAAAAAAAAAAAAATCCAGACCCGTTTAATGATCGGTTATTTTAAAATCATGCCTTTATTACCATAATAGTTTATGTATTATCATTTTCCCTATTAGTTAGCATTATTTGTTTAAAATAAATTCCATGTTTTACATAATAATTTACACGTGAGTACATAAAATAGTATTAACAATTTTTTGTACTCTATTTGCAATATCATAAAAAAAAAGGTATATTTTTCATAATAAACATGAAATTGGTTTCCTGTAAATTAAGTCTACAAAATGTATAAAATACCTACTTACTAAAGCGAATTGTGTAATATTTATTAATCTCCAGATGAATCAATATTTAAGTTCTCTGTTTGCAATTATTGTGGATAGAGACGGAGAAGAGATAGGAAGAGAGAGAGAGAGCTTAACCTTTTCCGCCTGTGGTTGGGTCGTGAAATTTATACACCTTTACTGTTTTTGAAAACATTAACGATGTGTATTTTCGGTCTCGAGTCTTTTTACTGCTTGCTTTTATTACCTGCATGCACGTGTGTAAGCGAAAATCGATTTGAGTGCAGGCAATACCATCGTAGTGTCAACGGGCAGATATGTTGAATTTCTTGTCAACGGTTTTCTTCCAGTGTCCATTGTAAGAATAATGATCAAGAAAAAATCGTTTAATCTGGACTAAGATCCAGTCAATACTGTACAGTTATTGTAATAATTCCAGCACCATATGAGGCGCTCAGATGCCAAACCGATTAACTGAATAAAATGAAATTTTTCAGGACAGGCGGTCAAAGTTATTTGAAACAATGTATGTAGGTGCGATTGCCAATTTTCTTAGCGCATTCTAGTGGTGAAAAATTCAACTATTGAGTTATTTATCTTGGCCACTGAAAATTATACACATTTTTTATACAACCATGCAATTTGAAAAAAAAATTGGAGTTAATCGGTTTGTCATCTGAGCGCCTCATATGTCGATAAGAAAATATGTACCTACCTATTGATTTTACTTTTTATTTTTAATCAAACCCTTCCCTCTGATTTTGCTCGTCCGTTGCTCTGCACTTGACATCCACATTATAACTGCCCACATCTGACGACATACATAATACTCAAATTTAATTAAGCTCTTAGACTCTAAGGGATGCAACTGCACAATGGGGTTCTCAACATGCTCTTGTGTGTTAATTTTTTAACCGTTCGTCGTTGTAACTTTAATTGCAATTACTAAAACCGTCGGACTGGAACGGTCGTTATTATTACTATTAATTATTATTATTATTATAACGTTTCGTGGTCCCTTTTAAACAAACGTTGTGCTTGTCTAAACTAACGCTGTCCCGCTGAGCCTAGGGCAGAATAGGCATAGCAGGTAGTCGTGTAATACTTTCCTTGTGTACACAAGTTCTAAAGGGACGTGTATCTACACTGGTATAATTTATGGAAAAGGCATTCCTCTTTGATTTAAGTTTTGACTCGTTCCAACTTCTGTCGGGCGGAATGGCTCCAACACAATTTCTGCTATTGACCGAGCCAAACTAGCCACACCGGCCCCCGGCTTTATCGTGCATTTTACCCAATAAGAATATTGCAGGGTAATAATATCTTCCTCTTTTGTTAACATCCCAAAGGCTGGTCGCCACCAATTTTCCACTTTTCGCGCTTCCCCGCTTTCCTTTAAGAGTTCGCAATACGATCTGCAGGACATGTCTCTTGCTATTCGACTAATATAGACTGTTATGGCGCAGTATGTGTCCAATTAACTTGGTTCTTCTTGTTTTTAAGATCTTCAGTGATCGTATGAAGAGATGAAATAATATTCAATAGCTTGCATGCTACAACGAAGTAAACAGAATGATTAAAACCAGTGTGACCAGTGTGATGAAATAAGTTTTATCCCTTATACTTCTATACTCTAAACGCCTATCTGAGAGAACAACACTTGGCTGAAGTTTATATACTATCAGAACTAGAAAACCGACCGTTTAATGTTATACAAAGTAGACTAGTTGAGTGAGGTGATGATAACATGATGATAACGCCTTCGTATAATTTAATGTAAATTCGCGCTCATTAGCACATTTTCGGCTTTCCCTCGGTTTGTATGGAGTTCATGTGTTTAAGCTGCTGTGTGTCCTGCAATACAATGGCATGGCGACGTCTCAGATGTCTTCCGTTCTTAAACTGATTCGCCGACAGCCACGATGAATTATTATTATTATTATGACTTTGAACATTTTTTCTACTATACAACTAACACATTTCGTTTTCTTTTGCTCGCGGCACCGGGGGTGATTTATTTTATTTCTCTTGCTGACGTTAATCCGTTGTATTTATTTGCGTTTTCATGCCCGTCTGACGTGGACTGCACGTGATTTAACGAGTCGGTCGGCACATAAAATCAAAAATTGGTTGTAAAGGGGAACAAAAATATTATCATGTTTCGAGA